ATGGATTGGATGTGACTGAGATGGATTGGATGTGACTGAGATGGATTGGATGTGACTGGAATGGATTAGATGTGACTGAGATGAATTGAACGAGACTGGATTGGATTGGATGTGACTGGGATGGATAGATCGATCTATTTATATAGAGAATATCAGTTTCTTTTTGTTAAATTCCTAGGTGTCCTCACATAACCACGTAGAGATAGTATACCAAATGGAACACTGCCAGTCTTCCTCCACCTATCTTTGGCTAGGAATACTCTTTGGTTATAAAGGAATTTTACTTCTGTTTGGTGCGTTCTTGGCTTGGGAGACCAGGAAAGTCACTATTACTGCTCTTAACGACTCAAAGTAGGTGCTTTTTAAGTCAAGATTAAATAGGCCTTTTGCAACAAAAAGTCATCTGCTGATAGATTTATCACTTTGATAACGAAACAATTCAACCAAAAGTCCCTTAATTGGGGGAGGCTCTGCTGGATGGCAAACAAACTTTGAATTGCTTCGTATGAAATCGAAAGTGTATTATAAGGATAAAAAGCATTTTTAACATTAACATTTTTAACATTAACAGTCAAGTGATTATTTCCTGCAAATTGCACTATTCTAGTGCATCTTTCATTCTCTAGTAACTATTAAGTATTAAGATGCCCATCCTCACTTTCTTTCCAGATATATTGGTTTCTCAGTTTATAATGTATTTATTCTGTGTGCTATTGGGGTTCCTGTGTCGCTGGTTCTCAAGGATCATCCCGATGCATCATTCTCTATAATATCTATTCTAATCATCTTTGGGACATCGTTAACTATTTGTTTCGTATTCATACCCAAGGTAATACTAATAATAATAATTATTATCGTTAGGATCGTCATCACTATCAGCATAATCCTCATCACCAACATCATCGTCATCACTATCAAAATCGTCATCATCATCATCACCATCACCACCATCATCACCAATACATCATCACCTTCATCACTACCATCATCATCCTCATCATCACCATCATCATCACCACTATCATCATCATCACCATCACCACCAATACATCATCACCTTCATCACTACCATCATCATCAACAACTTCATCAACATCATCACCATCATCATCATCACCATCATCACCATCATCACCAATACATTATCACCATCATCAGCACCATTATCATCAATAACGTTATCATCATCATCACCATCATCATCACCTTCATCATCACCTTCATCATCATCATCACCATCATCACCGGTACCACCACCATCATCACCACCATTATCATCAATAACTTCATCAACATCATCACCACCATCATCTACAACATCTTCATCGTCATCACCATCATCAACATCATCACCACCATCATCAACATCATCATCATAACAATAACGATAATGATGATATTTTCCTCGTTGTCAAGGTAACAGAATTACGTAAGCACATGCAGGTGGGTGGTCGACCCGAACCAATTGAACGCACCTTCACAGTAGGGAGTGTTTCACGTAATAACCTGGACGATGGTCTATCTACACTAAACAGTAACCATAGAAGAGAAATACAGGAGTATAAAGACAAACTAGAAGAGGTTAGTGGCCAGAAAGTGGGCACAAAAAATCTGTAACAATCACACTCCACGTCTGTTAAGTTTTACTCTAGCATTTGATGTTGTTGTTAATATATGGTGATGATGATGAACAAAATGGTGAAGGCAAATGACGATGATGATGATAATGACGTTCATGGGTGATTATGGTGATGATGGTGATGATAATGGTGATGGTATTGTTGTCGATGATGATGGTGATGAACCAAATAGTGATAGGAAATGATGATGATGATGGTAATGACGATGATGATGATAATGACGGTGATGATGATGATGGTAATCGATGTTGATGGCAAATGATGATCGATGATGATGATGATGATGATGGTGGTGATGATATCAAAACTGTTGTTGTTGCCGATAGTGATGGTGAAAATGTAGAAGACCATTATAAAGTTCTTCTCAAACGCTACTCAAACGTTCTACTATACAAATTCGAGTTGAAATGAATAATTTATATTTCTATTTTTCATTTGTTTATCAGAAAGAAGAAGAAATCATTACCCTTCGCAAACGACTTCAAGGTTACGAGGAAATAGCAGATTCCAGTAAAAAACAATGCCAGGACACCTTAAAAATCAATAATCTACAAGCAGCAAACACCATATGATATGTTAAAAATATACAGTTCTTGGTCGGCTCAAACGGCTAAAACATTTGTGTTGGAAACTTACTACAAGACCCAGGGACGTAGCCAAGGGGGCCAAGGGGGCCCGCTCCCCCATCCTCGCGCTGTAGAACCTCCACCCCTGTAATGCCCTGGGAGTGAGGTCCAGATAGAAATGAAAGACATGAGATGGAATTGGATTCAGAAATTGATTTTTACGGATGGAGGAAAGACTGAAGAACCTGGATAAAAATATTTGAATAACTGACAAGGATAAGGAAATTGCAGTACGATTTTTCGAAATAAGAATCCCAAATAGGAGATATCGGAGTTACACTCTAGTGCCTTCAGAACGTTTCTATACATTTCATTGTATTGACCCAAATGCCTCGACTTGAAACGTTTGAAGGCAACAGAGTTTAACTCCGATATCTGCTATTGTTTTTGCTGAACAAAAGCAACTAGCTCTTTCTTTCTTTCTTTCTTTTTTTTTAAGGAAAAAATATAGATGCGGTGGTATTCGAATACACGCTTGGCTCGAGAAATTAGATATTCAATTTAAAGAAAAAAAGAAAAAAAGAAAAAAAAAAAAAAAAAAAAAAAGAAAAAAAAAAAAAAAAAAAAAAAAAANAAAAAAATCGATTCCAAGGTGCCATACCCCCGAGACATCCGCAGAGCTGAGGCGTCGTACGGACTTCGGACCTGACGGCGATTAAATCCTTCTGCCCTTGGGTGCACGAATTACGCAAGAAAATGTTCTAGCCGAAGCATCAGGGGAGAGACCAGCCGGCCCCCAGACCATATCGGMTAATCCCTTGCATCTCTGCCACGCACGGAATCGGTTGAAAAAATACTGTCAAAAAGTCTAGTCTATTCGGTTAAAGGCTATTGTTATGCAATTTTTCATGAACACCTTAGTCCAGTGGAAAAATACTTGGGCTTTCGAGACAGTGGATCAAGCCCGGATTTGCAGAGTTAGAACCTGGATGGGTGACAGTATAGTAAGTGCATGGTAGAATCTTTTTTTTTCTTTTTTTCCCTAATCTTTTCTTCTAACCTTTCCTGTTTGTTTGTTTGTTTGTTTGTTGTTGTTTTTTTTTTGTTTGTTTTTTGTTTGGCTTCTTCGTATACCAACTCAGACCAATGGCCATTTGATGACTGGAAGCCAAATCGCAAAAAGCTAAAAACCAACCAGTCGATTACCGTGGATAAATAAAGCTAATCATAGTCTTAATTATTATCAATATTATTCATTATCTCTAAATTATCATTAAGAAAAACCAAGATAATGGTTTGACCAACGAATAGAAATTATTTATACGTAATAAATATGCAATTATATATAACTTTTATTTATCTTTTAAACCCTAGAATGTAAATACTCACTTCGAGTGACTGTCTTTTTTCATTATTTGGAGGCGAGGAATTAAGCTACGGACATTGACATTGACATTGCGCGCAGAGTTGCATGCGATTTATGTTGCGAGCCATGACACACGACGCAATTTGTTGCACGCAACGCAAGTAAAAGACTATCCTATTTCAGCAACATTGTCTCCGCACCAGTAGCGTAGCGAGGGGGGGGGGGGCACGGGGTGCACGTGCCCCCCCAATTTTTCAAACAACTTTTTCGAAAAAACGAAAGAGGAAAATAGATTATTGCAACCTAGGAAAGTGCGCTGTATAAATCAGTTTATACCAATACGAATTTGTTTCTTTTTTGTTTCTGCGTTTATTTGTTTTATGGGGGGAGGAGTAATTTTGGGGGGGGGGGGGGTCAGTGCCCCGCCAGCTCCTAGGTCTTCGCTACGCCCCTGGTCCGCACCTTTAGTAAGAAAATAGAAGGAAGAGCGCGAAGAGAGGATAGGAATGTAGGGAAACTAAGAGTTCACCATTCGCTTTAGGAGGGTTTGAATTAAGGAAGTAGCGTGTCAGATGCAGGCTTCTCTGTGTTTTTCTTTTTAGATAATGCTGTTAAGTTATGGCGTATTTTGGGATGCAACTCCTCACAAAAACGCGAAAATACTGCGAAAATTATACTCAATAATATAACTTCGACCTGAAACAATTTGACCTTTGAAAATAAATCCTGTCACGAAGACTAATGCAAGAAAATATTCAAAATTTAAAATATCCAACTGCTTTTCGTTTGAACTTGGAAGTCGTATACGATTGACGTCACTTTTAAAACCTCTGTTGGAAGGGGTGCTAAACATTTTAGTGTTTCAATGGAAGAATTTTAATTTATTCATCCACTCCCATAAATAGTGAATTATTGATTCGAATGGTCTCTTAGTACGTACAGAAGTGCAACTAGTATATATACCTTGTCAGCGTATTCTAGCTGATTTGCTGTGGAGTTAATCACGAGGAAGGTATAGGCACGGCTTGACTCTCTTTGGATTCCGTCAATGCCCTTGAATCATGTAGAAAAACACTGAAGTTTACCCCCTGTACAGAAACAACATGTTCAAATATCAGTTTTATTAAACCCTGAAACCTCTAGGCTTATCTAAGTCAGGGCA